CCTCTCTACTTCCTAGCTTGGCAAGAGCTAGATAGAAAAATACTGTGAGACAGGCTTTTCCAAAGGGGAAATTGAGTCATTGAGAAGCCATATGCCATGTTTTTAAAGTCAATGTTTGTCTTTGCACTTAACAAAACTGGTGTTTGGAAGAGATGGAGAGGAAGGCAAGGGACATTGGATCGTCTTTTACAACCCTGTGATAGTTGTGTAGAAGCAACTGACCTGGCTGAAAAAATTATTTTCAGCTTTTGCCATTTGGTTGTGAAGCCTAGGTAACACAGAACCATAGAATTGTTTTTGTTGGAAAAGACGTTTAAGTTCAAGTCCAACTGTTGCGCATACTTCAATACACTTTCCTGTTTTGGTACAACCGCGTGATTCTTTAAATGCCTTCCTTAAAGCTAACAGGCATTTGAAGGAATTTTCTCTGGAAGTGGGGTAGCTATTTGGTAGCTGTCCTCTCTGTTGTACACATGCTGTCATCTTACAAATCTCTTTTAAAAGGTTTGCCAACACTGCCTTGGTCACACTCAAGAGGTCTTTGAGGACTGAGAGAGGAAGACTGTCTTCTGTCCTCTTTGTGAGCACAGGCTGGCCTCTTCTGAAGGCTGTCCCTGCTGACAGCCTGGGTGGCAGTCACAACTCTGCAGTGCTGAAGTGCTCTGGTTGCTGTGTTGTAGCAGTGTGTAGAAGTGGGGCACACTGTTTCACAGGTCTGTGTGCTGAGCTCTAATCTCCACTGTAGAATTGTTCTGCAATCTCAGTTCTGCTTTTTAAAAATTTATTCTCTAGCACTTAGGGGTGCACGAAGAGTCAAAAAAATGTGACAGGAGTGCAAACCAATGTCATGGTGTCTCCCTGAGCTTGTGAGGGCTGTGGGATATTAGATCAGAGACCCTGGAACTGCTCCCTACCTTTCAGTTAGGGTCCTGTGGATTTTGCAATCCTTTGGGCATGAGACTCACCAAAAGTTGTTAATGGCATTGTCCAAATGCATCTTAAAACAGTGACAGTCTTGGGCCATCAGCCACCTCCCTAGGAAGCATATTCCAGTGTTCAGTTGCCTCTTCTGTAAAGAAATGCTTCCTGATGTCCAGTCATTTCACCTTCCAGTCTTATCAATATCCTTTTATTTAAAATAACCCACAAAATAACAAATTCCTAAAAAAGAAAAATTGAGAACTCCAAAATTTAACTGTTTTACTAAATGTGTAGATACAGCATACTGATTTTCAACAGCAAAAGGTGATTTTGGGTGGGTTGTCCTGTGCAAAACAAGACTATCAGGACCAAAGACTTGCTATTATGACAGGAAAAGCTGGCCCAATGATGGAGTTTAACTTGGGCTATTAGGCTGTTGACACTTCTCAGCATTGTAAACCTGAGAAATTTCTGTATGTCTCGATGGCCCTCCATTCTTTATAGGTTTTCTGTAAGTTAAGGTTGGAGTGAATCAGTACAAACCACTTAAAAACAGAAGTCTTAATTGATAGTGAATGGTTTTTTTTGTTATGATGCAGTGGTATATGGAAGTTACCAAAATCAGAATGAAAGGAAGAGCAGATGGGCTCTGATCAGGAAAACCAGAAATTTTAAGTCTCTTGGGGTGTAATGCCTTGTGGTTTAACTTTAGTTTTCATTTAGACCAGCTTTAGAAAGTTAATATCCACCATTAAACCTTTTAGGCTATCTTCACTCCTCTTTTATTTTTTTCTTCCTTTTTTTTTTTTTTTTTCTGGTGTAGAAATGAATAAAAGAGCTTTGTACAGTTCTTGAAACTGAGCCTGAAACAGCTCTGAACAAAATATAGTGTTCCTTTCAAAATCTTGGAAATAATTACATCATAGGCAAATTGGGCCAGAAACCGTTAATGGTATTCTTTGTGGAATGCAATCCCGTGGGAGGACCTATTTCAGCAAACTGGCATTGTTTACAAATAGATACAGTGACTGATACAGTCGTCCCATTCTGAGGGACAGCTGAAACCTTGTGCCCTATAATGGACTTCACAGAATAACTGTCTTGCTTTTGATAACAAGCTTAAAATGTGCCTTGGTGCTTCTGTGGTCAGCCTCATGCCAGTGATGTCAGGGAGTGAAGGCTGGCTGGAGCACTGGAAAGAGTATTTGTAGGTGGCTTAAAGAGAAAGTAAGAGCCTCTTCTGCCATCAGCTCATAAAGGAGGAGCTGGAAGAACAGGGAGCCATGTCCAGATGTCTCTGTTGGGATTAATGAGTTGGGGAATCCCTCATGTTTCCATGTACAGGAATACCTGGGCATGGTGTGCTTTCCCTTCACCAGGGTAACACACATGGCACATATACTTCTTCATGTTATCTTACGGTATTTTTCATTACTGGCTTCCCCACCCCCATTACTGGAAAACCTGCATTTCAGGATAGAATTCACAATAATTAGTAAAGTTAACTGTTTGACCTAAATGTACCAAAGCATTGAGTTCTCTAGGTCAATAGGCGAGTCTATACTTGAAAGATTGATCAGCAGAAGCCCTAGGCTTGGCACAATTACAACTATTCCTTGGTCATACAGAGTACATCACTGCCTACGTATGCACTTCCATTGGAAGGTGAGCCATGTTCCTCCATCACCAGGGCAGGTCTACCACTAGATCTCTATCTGGACAGCCGGGCTGTCAGCAGAGCACTCTCATGGGGACCAGGCACATGCTGGGGACAGTGATTTTCTGTGAAGGATCACTTTTCTGCCTTCCCAAGTGTTGTGTTTCAAATTACAAGAACATGTTTTATTTGACAGCTGCCTTCAATGCCTGACTATATTAGTTAAGGGTGCATGGTCTTGTCCATGCTTCTAGGCCTGAAGGCAAAGGGGGAACAACACCTGGTTGTTGGCTGCCTGTGGTTCAGTATTACCTTTGCAGCATACAGGTGGAGGTAAGCAACTCCATGGTGTAAGAAAGATCTGGTAGTTCATATAAGGCTTGAGCCTATGAGTAGACGTCCCCCTTGGCTGGTGAAGACCATACTTACCTACCAGTGGAGCAATTGTTTGAGCTCTCCCTAGTTGACTGCAAGCAAAATAAACCAGAACAGCTCAAATCTCTGATTTAGCACAAACCAGTTGATGAAGTCAGCTGGGAAGAGTCCTCATACAAACTGCTTGCTGATGAGGATGAGCAGCTGGGGTCACTGATGTCTTCAAGTGCATGTTTGTGAATCTCCAGAATCCCCACTTAGTGCTGTATGTACTGGGCTGGGACAGGCTGTTGCTGGGATTTTCAACTGTGTGACCCTGGGTTTCCTTGGGGATCCACATGTTTAGGAACCCCATTTTGTGGACCTACGGACTGGTGCAAAACAGAGATGTGATGGCATATTTCATTTATTGTTCTTGTCACTGGGCAGATGATTTGAATCTCAGATCTGACATTTTGGGACCTCATTTAAATGAAAATAAAATTGTAAGTCGAATAATAAAAAAAAGTCATCGTTTTATGTGTCATAATTTCAAAATGGTAACAAAAGCTAATAGGGCCACATCACGGAAAACAGTCTAGAGTGAACATCTCTAATTGTTTCAGTTGGCCATTTAGTTTTTATGTGGCAGGTATTCTCAGTTAAGGCAATATGGAATTGTTAATCCCCTATATATCTGCTGGAAATCCTGTCAACATTCCAGCTATATCAAAATAAGTGCAATCGTTGAAAAATTTAACCTGAGTTGTTAATCAACCAAGCAACCCCCAAAACCCTCAACCATGGCAGCTTTACCTGACCAGAGTGAGAGCAGTGATGCTGGTACCAGTTGACGTTCAGGACCTCCTTGTTTAAGTGACAGTCTCCGTGTCTGGCTGTAAAAAAACTACAACTTTCACAGCTGGAAAACATAAGTTGCTTCATTTTAAATTTAAGAGAGTAGCTGATGACTGCAGTAACTTGTGTTACCTGTGAATGAGCACAAGGAGAGATCTGTAATGTATGCACAGTGGTCTTCCATAAAAGGAGCCACTTGAAATGCATTGATTTCAGAAGGGTTGGAATTGTAAACTTTAAAAAATATTTAGTGTAGCCCACATCACATCTGATCTGTCTGAGATCATACTCTATTTTCAGGTCTTAAACCAGTTCATTTTACCAAGCATTGCTTGTTCATTAAAGCAGCTGCTTAATCCAGCCTTGAACTTTTATATTTAAGAGACACTAGAAAGATTAGGAATTCAAAGTCTTATTGCCCTGTGTTTTCCCAACTTAAAAAAGTTTTGTCAAAGTTTATGGGCATTTTTTGTCTTAGATCAGTACCCTTGTCAACAGTCAACATAAGTCTGTACATGTCCCTCCCTTGCTGATGTACCATATTTGGGACTTCACGATGCCACAAACACTCTTACGGTGACAGACCTGTGAGGAAAACTTAAGCTGTTATCATTTTCCTACATGGATTTTGATTTATTTTTTTAAAGCAAATGTATTACTCATTTTTATATACAAAGAATGTCTGTGTGGTACTTCTGCAAGACTTTCCTTTGAGCAGATCATTCCTTTTGAAGCTCCACACTCTCAGGGCTAAACCCTCTCCAAACACAGAGCAGGGAAGGAACAAAATGTTTGCTGTCCATACACCCCTAACATGCGCTTTGTTTCTTCCATCATAAAAATGGTTCACTAGGTAGTTTCAGTACATCATTTCCATTTTGCTTTGGAAGTCTGGTGTTAAAGGAAAATTTGGCTTGTAAACAACTACAGAAAATAAGGTGTAAATAAAAATGTTTTCAAGCCTTCAACATTGATTTAAAATAGCTTTATTTTAATGATAATACATTGATATTTAGGAATTTGCCACTGCATTTATTTATAGCAACCAGCAGTAGCCTTATTCAGGCAAACTTCTAATAGAGAGGCTTTCTTATTCCACTAGAATGCTTGTCTTGCCCTCTTTCCACACAAGGACTCCAGCCTTGGCACCTTTACTTGACAGGCATGCTTTCTGTTCTGCTTTTGCAGGAGGCTGTGAGGGCTGCTGAAGATGTCCGATAGTCTGGATATTGAAGAGAAACCTCCAGCCCCACCGTTGAGAATGAACAGCAACAATCGCGATTCTTCAGCACTAAACCATAGTTCAAAACCGCTCCCCATGGCCCCTGAGGAGAAGAACAAGAAAGCCAGGCTTCGCTCTATCTTCCCAGGAGGAGGGGATAAAAGTAAAGTATCAGCAGTGCGAATGGGTGGCTTCATCTCCCTTTGCTTTCTGTTGGGTTTTGGTTGCTGTGCTTACTTTCTACCACTGTTTTCTTTCTGTTTCTGTTGCAGAACATGGTAAAGTGCTTACAAAGGCTTCTGTTCCAATTACTCTAGTAACGTTTCAAAAGAGGAGGAGGTGTTCAGTCAGTTACATCTGTCTTCGAAAAGCCAATTCAGCCTGCACACGTTGTGCTACTTGCCTTTTAAAAACAACTTCACAGTTAATCCAAGGAATCCTTTCCTTTGGATTTTGCTTTGCATTTGCAGTAAAAACAGATATGAGGTTGTGTACATTTGAAAATACATTTGCAGAAGTGATAAGGCAATCTGCTCGACACTTGTTTGGTTGGGTTTTTTTCAATGCACTTACATTCCAGGAATAGGAGATGGGCTCTTCTTGCTTGTTTTTGCAGTCAAGAGTGGACGCAGAAAGGCTTGGTGTAAGACCTGCTAGGTATGGTTATAGCAAGAGAGTCTTTTAAACATTCAGGAAACAGCATTTCAGTTGCGTTCTTCAAAAATGCATTTGCAGAAAGTATCAAGTGTGTTTTGAGTTAGTGTATTTACAGAATTAAGGAATCTCTTTTTTTTTGTAATGCCATGGGAACTGACAGACTGCACCAACAAGTGCTGGGCGACCTGGCTTATGTTACTGTAGGACCGCTCCTGGTTATCTTTGGAAGGTTATGTCACTCTGTCTTTAAGAAGGAGGATCTGGGGAGCTGTGGGCTAGTCAGTCTTACCTTGGTCCCTGGGAAGCTAGTGGAGGAATCCTCCTGGAAATCATTTCCATGCAAATGAAGGAAAAGGATGTGATCAAGAATAGTCAGCATGGATTTAGGAAGGGGAATATGTGCTGAACCATATTGACGGGACATGACATATATCTACCTGGACATGACAGACTTGGTGAAGAGAGAGCAGTGGGTGTTATTTCTAATGTGTTCAACACAGCCTCCTGTAGGGTCCTTGCAGAGAAACTCATGAAGTACAGTCTAGAGAAGTGGACAGTGAGGTGGGCCCCAAAATTGGCTGAAATGCTGGCCTCAGAGAGTTGTGATCAGCAAAGTGAAATCTAGGTGGATTTCAAGAGGGATTCTGCCTTTGATGTGTATTGCTGTCCTCCAAGGAGAGCTCAGAGCTATGGAACTGCGGTCATCCCCTTGGAGTCCAGCTCACCCATGTTGCTCTGCTGTCCTGTTTAATTCCTGGAAGGACTCGGGTCGCTTCTTCCCCTGACTGTCAGCAGGATATTATCCTTCTCTGAGGGAACATTTCTTAAACAGGAGGTGCTGTATGAAATGAATGCAGAAATGGGGAGGTCCAGAAACAACCCCTCCTGGAAATGATCAGTGACATTAAAAATAGATATAATTAACTACCAGTGAGAGCAGTTTTAGGAAAGATAGAAGTATCATGATTTTAAATGTGACTGTGAGGGAAAGTGAGTTAAGATTTATAGCTTAATTTTGTTGGGTGAAATAATAAATGGAGGAAGTTTAGGCTGGCTGGCCAAGCTGCTTCAGGTGGTTTCCTCTCTGGGTTGGCTTGTCGATCCAGGTATCAGCTGGTATGTGCATGCTTCACAGACTCAGTGACACAGTTTTGAGAGTCCTGCTTTTAAAATGAAGGTGATTAATGTGGCTGCTTTCATCCAGTGCAGTGCTTTGTAGCACCACAAATTTGTATTAATAGTCCATAACAGATAATAGTACACAGAACATGAAGAAAACACCATGGCAGAGTGTTTCTGTCTGAATCTGTGCAAACTGTATTGTCTTTCATTTGCTCACCAGAGAGGACGTCTGTGGGGATGGATATGCTGTTCTCTCCAGGGCAGTGGCGTATGCTGGGATGGCTGTTCTCAGGGACCAGGAATCTTCTGCAATCACTTCTCTGTTAGAGGGTAGGGTTTTCAGTTAGGGTTTCAGCACTCCTCTGTTTAAAACGAGTTTTGGCAACTGCTGATGGCTCAGTGGGGCCCCTCTGTGTTTCTACAGTCAAAACAAGACACGTAGGCGTTAGTGTCCTGCTTCTTCCCATAGCACTTGACCTCCTTATGTTCCTTGGTGTAGCTCCTCTCACCCCCCATCTCTGGGGTATGGTACCCTATTTCCCAGGGGTAAATTATATACTCCCATTGGAGCTGCTTTAGACTTAGCTGTGGATGGGAGCAGACTGACCTTTAGTCATTTGATTGCCTCCTGTACAGAAAAATAAGAGAGAAGGAGAAAAACCCAGCAGGGTTAAGATTGATGGAGGAGAAAGAGAAAGGCCAAGGCTGCCTGAGTAGGACAGGACGTGCAGAGCAGGAAAAAGGATGGGAGGTCAGTATGAGTAACATGGATGCAGGAGGAGATGGAGGAGGGAACAGAATGAGATGAAGAGGAGGCAAAAGAACAGGAGGGCGTAAACATGAGGTCAAGCCCTTCCTCCCTCTCTGGAGAAAAGCTGCCACTTAGCTGAGTCACATTTTTTTCCCCCAACAACTGCTCTTTTAAAATAATAATGATTATGAGGATGCCGACTGTGGAAGGCACAGCAGTCTTTCCTTGTTCTTTTTTAATCTGTAAAGTTGCTGAGGTGGTGTGCGTGGCCCTCATAGCTAACTGCTGTGCAGCAGGAGAATACTGTGTTGAGCATTTATAAGAAATTCAAGTAGGAATGTCCAGTATAACCCACTTGAATCCAGTCAGTCATTGTTTCAGAGAAGTCGTGCCTTTTCATATCATTTTTCCAGCTTACATAAAGCAGAAGTGATTTAAGTTGCAGGGCACAGACAGAAGTGTCAGACTTCTTAGTCTGAGTTGGAATGCTTGTCCTGGCAGGAGAGGCCTAGGTACTTTTAATGGAACGTTTTCTGCAATTCCTGGTTTTGCATCTTGATTTGACTGTTGCTTTGAACTGAATTTTATGATCCTTTAAATCTAATTTTTACTGCATTTTCTTGCAAATGATGAGGCAGGAGAAGCCAGCTTTGTTATCTACAATAGAAGGTTATCTATGCTGAATGGAGATGACATCTTGTAACAGGCAATGTCTATCCTAAAAATTAAACAGTATATCATCTTAAGAGATAAAAGAAGGGCAAAAGCCTTTGCATTTGTATTTGATATATTGCTGCCATCTTTACTGAATGCTAAATGAAAATAATTGATCAGTTTACATAGTGTAGAGGTGTGCAGTACAGACAAAAGGTGAAAATTATTTAGGGATGATAAATGCAGCAATGCAGAGAAAGGATTGGAAACATCCAAAATACTCTGTAATTACAAAGAGCAGAGTATCTTCCAGCTAAAGGAGGCTGTAAGGTAGAATAAGAAAGATATACAAAGAGAAGCCTTGTGGAGCTGCTATCTGTGAGCAAAGACAGCCCAGGCTGGGAGGGATGCTGATAAATGGTGAATTCAGCCTTTCCATGAGTCTCCTAGGTGAAGTTACAAAGCTAGCAAACATAATACTAAAACACAGAAGGAAAATGTTAATTAAAATTCCATGAGCATAGTAGTGCTTTATGTTAGAAGACTGATGTGCTAGAAAATAGATTTCACAAAGCTCCATCCTGGTTGATATTGATAGAAGGGGATGGTTGCTTTTGAATTAAGACAGACATAAAATTGTCTGGTTTTGGTGTGCAGTGTGGCTGTCACTGGCCCTGCACTGAAGCAATGTGTAAGGCAAAGACAGGACCTCAACAACGGGTCTTTTCTTTCCTGCTAATGTATAACCGTGGCATATGTGTTCATTTTCATATTATCATTAATAAATGGTGATGCACTGGCCTTTAGAAATCCTGAAATAGAGTCCCATTGTGATAGGGACAGTATAAACCTCTCATATGTCTCTGGGTTTCTTACAACTCTTAGTGTGCTGTCACATTAGATCTATATAGCGAGCCTGCTCAGGACCACGATGAGGATATGTAAACCAGACACAGATTAAACTGGTAAGAAGGGCAGCAGAGGAGAGGTGGGATCCTGAGTGACAGATTGTTCTCTTTAAAGTTGAGAGTTAATGTGACTTTTTTGTGTTCTACACGGGTGCTCTATGTTTGTCTCATTTCCTGAGTTTGTGTTCATAACTCTCGCATACTTCAAGTGAGCACTGTAGTATTTTTTTCTGTTCCAATCATTGGCACATAATTTTCCACTGAAATGACAAATCTATTTGGTAAAATGTCACTTCCCCTCTCAGCTGTTAAAGATACATTACTGGTACTAGAGATGATCTTAGAGATAGCTCTGTACTGTATTATTCAACCTTGTGGTAGTTAGTCTTTGAGCATGCTGGTTCTGCAGGGAAGCCAAGTATTGCAGGTACCTGCCAGCAGGATAGATGTTTGAATGTGGGTTAATGCTGTATTTGTGTGTTTGGGAGTTGTCCAGAACTGTCATTATTGTCACGTTTTTAGAGAAATCTCTGTTGATCATGGATTCTTGGTGTATCAGAATGAAGGCAGCTTGTCTCAGCTTTTATTCTTTTATTCTCAATCAGGCTCAGTAAAACTGGGCTGAAGTGAGATTTATCAGTAGTAAAAAGCACAGCAGAGGGATGACCACAAGTGATGTTACTTTAAAAAGGTGTTGAAAGAGGAGGGAGATGAGAAGCATATGCAGATTGACTGACTTCCAAGTCTGTCTCCTTCAGTAAGATACTCTACACTCTGTAAATACTGTGATTTCAAAACAAGAGATTCCTGGAGACTAATAAAGCCTGGGTTTTATGATTATATGTCTTAGTTATCTGAGATCTCAAATGAAGCTTTTCCAGTGTTGTTTCTAGGATCTTGTTGACATGCAGGGCCTGTGGTTTGTAATCCAGAGCGACTGCTTCAGCCCTTTACTCTTGAGTAAAAGGAGTAGGATCTTGGTCTTGTCCTGAGCTGCCTGTTTTAACACAGCTTGTGAGAACCTGGTTATCTTAAAATACCTCTCTTCTCTGATTAGGCTGAACTTGACAACGGGATCAGAGCATGCTGGAGAAAAGACATACGCACACACAGGCATGAACATGTGCTATGGGTGCTTTACTTCTGCAGGATCCCACAGAGCAAAGTCAAACAGGAGTTAGTTGCTAGATATGAATAGAACAGATAATAGAAATACTGGTGGGAGAGAGCCTAAGAATGCTACTTCATGAACAGCTTGCTTTGGCAACCGTGACACTGATCAGAGAGAAACCAGAAAGAAATATCAACTTCTAGATCTTCCCAAAGAGGGGGTGACAGGCTGCTGGTATATTAGCTTGGGTCTATTTATGAAGTAAAATGAATATTAGTGGATTTGTTTGCCACTTGTAAAATACTATTTTGAGCACACCTGATTGTGAACATTTAAAAACTGTGCAGAAAATAAGTGCGTGTTAACGTTTTACCTCTAGCCAACAAGAAGAAAGAGAAAGAACGTCCTGAGATCTCTCTTCCTTCAGACTTTGAACATACCATTCATGTGGGATTTGATGCTGTCACTGGAGAATTTACAGTAAGTAACCACTGTATTGCCTGCCTACCAGAGCTTCTAGTTTCTTGATGGTAAAATAACCTCTTGATGCCAGAAACGTCAGATGACAGCAGCCAGGCTGTGAAGAAAGAGATATTTATTTGTTTGGCTTAGGATTTGGAGTGCTTTACTTCTGATTCAGGCTGCTTTTTTTTTTCTCCAAGGTTTGTCAGCGGAGTGTCTGGAAAATGGAAACTAGGATGAATGTAGGTGTATGCTTTTGTCAGTCCCAAAAGCTGCTACAGGGGTTGGTTATTCAGTGTCTTTGGAAGAGCATTAAAAACCCCCACACATGCTTAGTTTATGTCTTGGTGTAGACAATCTCCCCCAAAGTGCTAAGTCCAGCTGCTCTACAGATAACCCTTGGAGACACCCAAAAAGCAGCAGTGGAAGTCCATTTTGATTTATTATCCTTCAAAATATGTCCATGGACTTAGGTGATCAAACATGTTTCTACCCGTTAATAAAATAGCAGCCAGCTTTCTCTGCTTACATCACCATGAAGTGTTGGGAAAAAAGAGTCTGATAGAAGCTCCTTGAAGTGTGCAGGGGCTTCAAAGCATTTACTCTCAAACTACTACTTAGGTCCTGAAACCATTAGTCCTTAAAGCTAAGATGGCAGTAAGCTTACATTTGGTTGAGCTGTGGAGGTGGGAGGAGAGATGAGCAATTCTCTGTACCATCAGTAGTACCCTGTGAGCTAAGTGGTCAGACTGTGTTACCACCATGTGTCAAATTGTAGTGTCTGCTAGTGCAGACTGGCTGCATACACCAAACAGGATGGGACAAATAATTTGCCTGGACTTTCATTGCTACTTTTGTCTCTCAAAAATTTCAGAAAACTGGAAATTTTCTGTATGCTACAATAGTAGTAGCAATTGTAATAAAACCAATAAAAATAGAAGGGAAAAAAAGACATTTAATGTCAGCATGTCTTCAGAGGAGTGGTGAAATTGAATTATCCTAAGTAATTAGGAAACACAGCTACATTTAAAATATGTGGACTAGTAAATTAGCCTTTTTAAGACAGATGTCACATAAAATCTTACTTCAAAATTTATTCTATGCCAAATGCTAGAGCTTGATTAAATGCTTATTTTAAAAGCCCAGATGTGGTCACTTGTGATCAAAAACTTCACGTAAGGCTTTTAAAATTGTGTTTTTCCTGCTGTCTATTTTGGTTTTCCTCTTTCTTTCCTCTTCATCTCTCACTCTATGCACTTTATTGTTCAGGTTAACATTCAGTGCCGTTCTCTTTATCTTGGTATCATGTTATCTATTGTGTTACTTTCTGCTTTTGTTTTCTCCCTTTTGTGTTTGCATCCTTTCTTCCTGTCTGTATTTTCCTTTCTTCATTTTCCTTCCCCCTCCCCTCCCCTCCCCTCCCTCCTCATTTCACTCTTTTCCATTAAAAGTTCAGCTGTTCTTACTCTTTATTTGTTCTTCCTTTCTGCCTTTATTTCTACCCTGTGCTTCAGATGTGTTCCGTTGTGCAAAGGCGATGGGTCCCAGTTGTGTTCTCTTGTAGACTGGCTGGTGATGGGGATCCTAGTTAGTTTCACATCCCTGCCAGCTGGAACAAGAAGGAGGGACGCTGAAGTTAACATGCTTCAGTTCTAAGCACGAGCACTCTCACAAGTACTCCAGAGATCATGGTTTGGATTAGTTTGAATGTTGTTACCATTCAGTGTGTCAAAATAGTCTCTAGCATAAGAGATTTTTGAGTACTTGTTTCATGCTGAATGCCACCAGCACAGGTCCTGGCCTTTTACAGAACATAGCGATTGTACACAGTTGAATATGTCCAGCTCTATTGCTGTAGAATGATTTCTTTTTAGTATCTTTTTTGAAAACAGTGGACATTAAAAGGCTGCTGTTTCACAATTACACATTATTGCTACAGTCATACTTGTTCCTGAAGCCTGGCAGTGCAGTGCTGCAGTTTGAGAAGGCTCTAACCAATTCAAAACAAACCCAAGGGACAGGTGACTTCCTCTGTGCAGCTTGCCAGCACGGGACTTAATGCTGCAGTCCTTAAAGGAGTAAAATGTTAGTCAAAGCAAGAGCATTTTTGCACCACTCAGAACTAGTTGCCAGCTCCCAGCTAACTCCAGATGCAAGCTTTATGTTGCATGTTAGGCATGTTTGATTTGTCCCAACCTGGATACAACCTGTGTATCAGCTGGATAGTTGTGTGGTATG